TTTTCTCTTCATTTGTTTTTAGTCTGTTCTGTAGATGTTTTAATGTCAGTGTTTGGTTCCTTTTAGTTTTTAGGGAGTTTTGTTCTTTCTTTTTCTGTTCTCTTTCTCCTGGTTCACCTGTCTCTCGCCGTATTGGTTTTAGGTTAAACAGCCTCTAAGGCAAAAGGCTGATAATGTTTTTGCCAGTGTCTGTTCCTTTATCCATAGTTTGGACAAAATGCAAAAATGCCAAGCACATTAGATTCCACAAAGATGGTGCACGGGTCATTTAAAAAGTTTGACCAAAACGGCTTTCTGCAGATGATCTAGGTTTAAAGCTCTGTCATGAATGGCAGCAGGCCATACGCATTCCTTCATGGATTGCTAGGCCTTTAATTTTCTCTCCTGGCTTTTGTCTATTTTCTCCGTTATTACGAGTTTTGGTTTCTACCAGCAGAGCCAGGCTGCACCACATCTCCCTTGTTTTTCAGCCTGCTTGCAGTGTAAATGCCAGAGAAAGAGACAGAGATGTGGATAGAGCAAACACATGGAGATGCTCATGACCCCCCCCCCCCCCCCAAAAAAAAAACACACACAGTACTTTATCAGCAGAATGAAAGTGCTTTCTGGCAGTATTTGAATGAGACAGAAAAGAGCCCTATTCAGCCCCCGTGCCCAGCTTTTATTAACACTGCGCGTCACCGAGGCGCGACATAAGCCTCCCACCCGCCTCCCTCACCCCCACACACCCCCTCTCTCTGTCTGCCCCCCACTTCAGATACACACATACCACAAACACACATTTTTCACACAAGCAGATGGAGTTCTCCACAGTTCAGGTATGCTGTCCTCTTCTTGCCTTTTTTATATAACCCCTTCTTATCCCCCTTTTTATTTGACTCCTCCTTACTCGTGGGCTTCTGGTGCCTCACCCCCCTCTCTCTCCTTGTCCTTTTCCACCACACCTCCCTCCCTTTTTCTCACTTTCTCTCCCTCTCCCTCGTTGTCTGTTTGCCTCTGCCACTGAATGGAAATACGCACAGATGCGTAAAGGGGCGGTCAAACTCCATCTACCCACCGGTGGCAGCGGCAGCATCACTGATCCAGTTCTGTATGGACAGGAAGACCTGGTCAGGAGATGAGTGGTTTTTTTGGAGGGGTGGAGGGAAGGCATTTCTACTGACCTCGAGGAAAAGAAAAAAAAAAAATCAATGTTTGTTGGTTTGCTCGGATCACCCAGAAGTCCCCCAGAAGCCTGGACAGAGGACGCAGAGAGAGGACCAGTTGTGTCCCGGCTCGAAGAGCATGGATACTCGCCTCTTCTCCTCCCTCTCTCCCTCCCCTCCCTTCCTCCAGCTGCTGGTGCTTGTTTGTGGCGAGCCAGAAATAGCTGCAGCTCGTCTGATGGTTGTGCGGAAGCGTCTGAGATGAGCTTTATTTATGGTAGTTGTGTTTTCAACTGCGAATATCCTGGTTTTATCTGATTTTTATTCTTTTTTTTTTTTTTTGTAACATTTCTCTCTCATCTTCTCTGTTTTGAGTTTTCAGCTTTGATGCCACTCAGTCTGCTGGAGTCTCACTAATTAGGGACCTGATTGACAGCTTGGTAATTGGATTTAGTTCATATCCGCTCCTTGAAGTTGTGAAGCCTCTTAAGGTGCAACAGAAACCGTTTTTTTCCAAGTCTTTGCAAACCAGCTATAACGTAAAGTTGCAGAGATCTTGAAGTGTTCTGGTTTTATTGCTGCGAAATTCTCAACGCTTTTTCAAATCAGCAGGGGACCAAAAATTTAGCACACCAAAAGATATTTGGGTCATACTCCTTCAGAAGTACAAAACCTACCCTACCTGCAAATATGTGCTTGTTTCTGCCTGTTTTAATCCATATGTGCTAATTCTTCACCGTTGTCTTTTTCCTCCTAAAATAGACACAAAGAGGATGATCTCTCTACTTCTGCTTTCAAAGATCAAACTTTTGATTTAACAAGTGCATAAGTAGATTTCTGTTTAACATTTCTTCCTCGGTCACTTGGCATTGCGGATATTTTACAGCTGAGTTACTATCCAAGAGGACAACAGGTGTCGTCATCCATCAGTCGTGGAAAATTTGGGTCCTTTCTTTCACAGAAGTTTCTTACAGAGAAACTGTTCAAATTTAAAGCAGATAATTAAATTCAAACTGAGGTGAAAAGGCATTATTTTCATGAAAAAAACTTGTAATGCCAAAGAAAACAGTTGTTCAAGACAGAAATGTACCATTAGATCAAATTTGCAACCGTTTCTGTGCCTCATTAGCATGAATAGTTTTTCTTTCATTTCTCTGAGTTATAAACATTACTGGCTATAATATACTGCAGATTCATGTGTTGCTGTGATTGAGTTTACCTAATAATGTTTAGATGATGATGAGAAATGATAATATAGTAAAATAAGTCTGGATGATGAAAAAGAACTGATTTGTCAGATAATCACAAGTCCAAAAAGTAAACTTTGTGTGATTCTGCCAACTCAAATATGTCATTCTGTGAATGTTAACAGGTAAGGATTATTCCCTCCCACAGGTGAAATAATTACTAGCAACATTGTTGGGAATCCAGCTTTATTTCAGACAGTTCTGGGTGTGTAATTGCACATTTTTGGTGCTTTTTGAGCATGTGAACACGTCATAACTCACAAATATCAGCCAGGTTTGATTAGATTTTGTTTGCTCTGTATTTGACCTACACACGTCTCACTTATCTGTTGACTCGAGGTGTAAGGCTGTTTTTCTCATATAGAGGGCAGGGTGTCATCTCCTATCAGCTCATCTTCTCTAGGTATTTGTGTCCTTCACCTGCTGCCTGTTTTCCAGTATTCTCTTGCCAAGGGGTTTTATTTGAACGTATTTCCTCCTATCTTTTATAATATGAGTGTGTGTTTGTGTGTGTTTCTTTGCTCTTGAAACGAACTCCTATAAATTCCCAGTTCACTGTATGGCTTTTTATTCCTATCTGACTGCACTAATGGTTCATATAGGGATGGAAGCCATGCACTGCGCTGGGAGCACAACACACTGGACCACAAAACTCGAGCTCTTTCACCTGACACATGCACACAAGTGCTCACACGCTTCACATACTTGCATAAAGCAGCGAATGCAAGGACACGTTCAGGCAACAGTGAATCGAAAACCCACCACACCGCTCTCACAAGAATATGGGCGCACATGCACTCCACAAGTAAACATTTATGCATTTATTTATGCGTATGCATGCATTAAGTGTGCATATGTATGCCACATGCATCACAAACACTCAGAATGGAAATCCAGCCCCACTACCCCATCACAATCCCATCAGGCCCTTGCTGCAGCGAGCCAGTCTGAAGCTGTTGACTGTATCAGCTGACAGACGGTTCTTTGAAGTGAAACGCACACATCTGCCACAGAATCCCAACATGATCGATACAGATCACAACCAAGATGAATTAAAGTGAAAATGAACTAAAATAAGCTGAACTGATTCAGAACTGAGAGGCAGAACTTATTTCAGGGGGGAGTCACACAGACTCATTGCCAGAATTTTCATTCAGTCATGGTCTTTTTCCACACTAAGCCTTGGGACCCCATAGAGTCGGAACAGTACAACCTGTGCAGAATGGGAGGCAGTGAGACCTCCTGAGAGCTTTGGTACGCAGAGGACTTTAACCACATTCATGCCTGGAGTTGAGATAAAGATTTTCTGTCAAAGGCAGACATGCAAATGAAAATACATTTCAATAAAGATCCTTTCCATGCTAGAGTGAGATTTTAAATAAATGTATAGCTATAATCCAGTCCAAAAAGTTGAAAAATGCTGCATTTTCTCTATTTTTTTTATAACAGAAGATCGTGTGAAAAACAGCATTTGGATAAACATTTTTTAACTTAGAATGCCTTATTGCTCAATCATTCTCCGTGTAAAATGAAACCTAGATGGAGACGTGCATTTAATCTGTCACCTCTGCTTCTGCTTCAAATGACCTGACATCAGCTTTACTGCTTCATATTTTCAGACCTGTCCACATGCATTTGTTCTCACTAACCAGGTGATTTTTGACAGACAGTTGGCCAGTTATATTAATGCCTTCATCCTGACACTGTAAATACATTCAGCATCATGCAGAGGATGAATTGTAACCTATATTTTTCTTTTATTACATCAATATTTGGTCTCATTACATATTTCAAGAAAAATGCCTTTTTAAGGAAAAAGTGTTTTGCCAGATAGAATTTACATTACAGTACTGCACACATTTCAAATCAAAATAGTTGATCTGTCATACTTTCAACAGTTACAATAGAAATGAACTGCCCTTTATTACACTATGGTGAAGGCCCTTGCCTAAGATGTTCCTAAATAATCCATCAAATATTAATTAAGTTCTTGTTTTAAATGAGTAATGGTAGATACCAATATTAGATCGCAATTGACAGAGCAGAACAGTCTTTTAAAAGTGGCAAAACTCTTAATGAGGTGCAGTGTAAGCCTAGAAATGAGAGTTGTTGACATGTTTTTGAGTATAAAAGCTGATATTGTAAATTTGCACCAGATATTCAACTTTGCTTTTAATTTGTGTGTTTTTTTTATTTATAACAATCAACAATAAAAATGGATGCGCAGCCACTATAAGTTTCGTTTTTTTTTCAAGTTCATGAAATGTTACCAAAGACAAACGCTGAATATGACAACAGAATGAGACTTCTTGACTGATTTTCTCTAACAATTCAAACATGGCACTACACTGCCACCTACCGTTCATATTAGGTATTACATATGCATAAAACACCGTAAACATACATTAGCCTTCTTCAGCTAAGATAAATGTAGCTTTATAAATAAAATTAAGAATTAGCAAAACTGTAAGCTTAAAACAACTGGATGAAGAAGAGGATACATTTGTGAATTTACCGTTTTGCTCGGTGCAAACAGAGGGAGTAGGACTTGAATAGAGGTGACAACGAGCGGATGTGACGTCAGTATCCAGCCCCCAAAAACATCCGAGTCTCAATTTCTTCTGTTATGAAAACTCCTCAATGAAGTGTTGGATAACTGCAGCTTCCGTGGCGTTATGCAAGACCATGTGGAGAGTTTATTCCCGGCTGTCTATGTTAGTTTTTTCTAACATATGTGCAGGAGGTATTTAAATTGAGAAAAGTCTGAAAATAGCATCATGGCAAAGCGGAGAAAGTGTGCAGAGACAGACGAAGAAGAAGCCACAACAAAGAAACTGAAGCGGGCGATGACTGAAGTAACCAGAAGAGCAAAGACAAGAGTGAAGAAGAAAGATACAGGTACTAACAAAAGTCAGAGCTGCATTCAGTCGAGATGCTTTTAGAAAACGTAATAACAAGTAGGTGCGAATCAAAAGATCAGCTATCAGATTGTGTGTCCCAGTTATTTTTATTAGATGATGCTTTGATGTTTCTTTTCATCCAAAATAGACAAAATACAGACATATATAATTATAATTTAGACGTATGCTCTACTGATAATTGCATTCCCAAATATTCCCTCCGTCTTTGCTGAAAACAACTATTTCAAACCACTAGTTACTCATCATTCCTGGTGGTAAAAAAAAAAAAAAAATCTATTTGTGCAAGATGAATTTGCACATGCATCTGTGTTCTTAGTGTTGCTTAAAAAAATATAGCACGAGCATTTAGATTACAGGTGCATGGATGAATGGTATGCATGATTACTGGAGTGGATCTACTACTGGCCTAGATGCTGCACATCTGTGCTCTACTTCTTAAAAACATGAAGCACAATTTGTGAATGGCTGCTGATATTTGCATTTAGTTTTTAACATGTTTAAATGCTGCATATAGATCACAGTCATACCATATCATTCTTGTCCATTATTGCTAGTGTATTTGTTTTTCTTTTTTTAGTAATTTAAAACATATGTTCAAAGTATCTTAAGTGCATATGTAATGTGGAACATAATTATCTTAAATTTGACCAAAGCCAGTTGAAGAATTTTATTCAAACAGTGATTTGTTTATTATTTAAAAAATTCTTTATTTCCCTTACTGTTTTGAAAAGACCCATTTCCATGCATTAAAACACTACCAATATTCTGACTTTTAAAATTCTCAAATAAAAAAAAATGGATATATACTACTATTATAATTTTCGATGTCTGTACTACTGCGGGTATTTGTGTAAAACAATATTACTGTGCATTACATAAACATTTCAGAATTTGAAACCCTGATATTACAAACATATATCTGTAATGACTTTATATTAAATTCGTTACAGTTTATTTATAAAGTGCCATTTCACAACAGAAGTTATCTCGGGTCAACACACACACACAAAAGTCCAAATCTTAACACCAATTTAAATTATGTGTCTTAACCACTTAAAGTTTTTTTTAATTCTTATTATATATTCTAATATAATTCATTATGAAATGCCAATTACTAAAATATCTGTATAAAGAAGCTGGCAGACTTTGTTAAATGAAACTTCAAACTGACTCTAAAGCAGTTCATTTTAAACTTTTCAGTTATTACATCTTAAAATATTCTTTCTGTTTCTTGGCTCAGTTAATGATCTTACAGATAAAGAGGAGAAGTTTGAGAAGAAGGTCAATACTAAGCCACGTTTGTCCTCAAAACGAGCAGCAGAGAAAAATTCTTCCAGTACCAACACCAGCACTGATGTCAAAACCAGTAAATACTTCCAGTCCCCACTAAAGCAGGAAGTTGATAGTGAAGATGACTTCGACATGGATACCTCTGCACCACCTCTGGTTGATGTGAGCCCCAAGAAAATGGAGAAAGAAGAAGAAGAGGAGGATGATAGTGAGGATGAAGATGATTGGGAAGAAGTGGAAGGCAAGTAACTGAGGAACTCGAGAAGTAATTTCTGTTTTTTAGTTAATTATGAATGTGGAAAAAGATAAATTATTCCAAAGATAAATCACTGAAGAATAATAGGAAACAGAAGATATTTTTGTTTGTTTGTGTTGATCAGAATTAGCTGAACCTCTGGGTCCAGTCGAAACGCCTGAGCCGGTCCTGCCTTCTCAGCCCGTAGAGATCGAGATCGAGACGGCCGAAGTCAGAAAGCAGTAAGTGAATATGTGCTTGAATGTTTAAATGTAAATTACATACTTTACATACATATTTGTATTTAGTTCCAACTGCAATAAAAAAAACAATAATAATGAAATAAGGAGCATATAAAGTATAAAAATCCTGAAATGAGTTAATTACTTTGTTGATTATTAGTTTATTTAGATTGTTTAGTTGAAAATTTAACTGATTAATGTAATCTCATGATCATTTTTCTTAGACTATTATTATTATTATTATTATTATTATTATTATTATTACTACGGTATTATTCCAGAGGTCAGAAAATATTTTGATTAGGACATAAAATAACCAGAAAAGTTGATCTAAAAATTTGTTCTGACTGCACTAAAAGTACAGTACTGTAATTTTCGCTGTATAAGTCGCAGTTTTTTGCATAAATTAGCATGCCTGCAACTTATACAGCGAAGCGATGCATTTATGTTTTTTCCCCCATATAACCCAAGTTTTGGCTCAGATCTGACGATTTCATTCATTCTGCCATGGGAAATATTGAACACTACCACTTTCAGCCACTAGAGGGCCTTCGAGTTATATGGCAAGCCAAGTGTCTCATTAAAAGGAAAAAGTGGCTATTAATGAGACACTTGGCTTGCCATACAAGCCACTTTCGTCTCACTCCGGAACTCCTGGAGCAAATGTCAGATCAGCTGCATTTCACGGCGCTGCCCAGTTTTCTACACCGCCTTATAATCTAGCTGGGGGGGGTTTGTTGTTGTTTTTTGTTTTGTTTTGTTTTATCCTTTTCTTTTTGTTTGCTATTTTGTAAAAAAAAAAAAAAGACATTGAAATTTTGTATGCCTCTTTTGTGACAGTCTATTGTTGTTGTGGTTACGTTGTATGAATGAATGAAATGCAGCTGATTTGACCAATAAAGTGCATTTATTAAGGAAAAGTGTAACTGAGACACACCTTTGCTATAATTTCGAGCAAACAAATAATTGTTTTTAAGAGTTAATCTTGTTAAATTCTTGTTTTAGTCCTCCCGTACATGCTCCTGCGGCCGCCATTTGGCAGCCAATCGATTTTTGGCACAACACCTACCCATGTTTCCGGGTGGTCGGGGGTGACGCATAATAGATGCGACTTGTACAGCGAAGCAACATATTTATGTTTTTTTCCACTTTATTAGACATATTTTGACTGATGCAACTTATATGGCAGTGCAATGTGTACGGCAGCAAGTACGGTAGTCCCTTGGTACTTCGCGATTTGACTTTAGCAGACTCACTGTTTTGCGGGATTTCAAAATAAGATTGTGTACACAACACACGATTGGATGATTGATGGAAGGCAACCATCCAGAGCATTGTGCTCTGGATCCCGGGTGCTGATTGGCTCATTAATCGTAGCATCAGTCTGTCTGCTTTGTTTCGCTGTGCTGTTTTAGAGCATTTAGAGAGTTTAGAACATTGTTAAGAACATTACAAGTGTGGGAAGGGTTTATAAAGCCTTGAAATATATACAAATATACACCTCCATTTATGCATGTTTGGAGTGCATTTGTTGTGTTGCTGATTTCACTCTATGATTATTGCTTCTATGTTAGGAAGAAGAGGCAGGCAGAGGTGGAGACTTACTTCCGGCGAATGATGAAGAGATTTAAGAAGGACCTGCTGATTGACACACACAAGGTAAAAACACAACTTTTATTCGGTGCAGCTCATTCTTTTGTCTGATCTGTGAGTGCAGCAGGAATTTGGATCTTTACTGACCTCTGACTGGTCTCTAAGGTCCACCTCATGTGCCTTATAGCCAACGGGATGTTTCGCAACCGTCTTTGCAGCCAACCGGACCTACTGGCCATCACTCTGTCCTTGCTGCCGTCCCACTTCTGCATGGTCGCCAAGGAACGCATTGATCAAAACTACCTCTCTGGACTGCTCAAATGGTGTGTGTTCTTGTAAAACATAAGATGTGAAGCCTTGACACGTGGATATCAAACATCGTCTTCAAAGCTCTCATTCAAATGCCAACTGTTTCAATTCAATCTTATCTCATTACTTTCAAGATAAATTGTGGATTTCTTGTTTCTATAATAATTATTTTCCGTTTTAGGTTTAGAGCAACCTTCACGCTCAACCCTAGTCTTTCCTGTGAGGAGGGTCTGGTCCCTCGGGCTCTGCTGGAGAGACGACTGGCCTCACTCTCAGCCAGAGACCACCAAGAGATGACTCATGTGTGTTTTTTTTTTTTTCAATCCAAAACTGGTCCATTCTCCCTAATGCAAACCATTGTCTAGTTTTACAAATAAAAGTTTTATACATAAGTGCATAATAATGTCTTTCTGTGTTTTTCTGCAGATTTTTCTTTTGATTCTAAGGTCTCTGCAGCTTTTCTGCCGATTGGTTCTCTCATTACAGCCAGTTCCTTTCAAACCTCCTTCAGCCAAGGTACAAACTCAATACCTGTCCGGTCCCTTCTTGATTGTACTGTAAATTAATAGCAGACACACTTGTAAAAAAAGAAATGTAACGAACATTTAGAGCCTTATGTTCTATCTGACATAAAATTAATGTTTTTTGTTGTTGTTTGTTTTGTTTTTCCAGCCCAAAGGGGCCAGAAAATTAACTGCTGCCACTGAATCATGCCAAAAAAACAACTGTGTGAAGCCCAAAGTCTCTCCAGGCTCAAAGAGACCATCAGGAGGAAGGAAAACAAAAGGGAGCAGTGGAGGCAAACAATCAAAGAGGAACGAAACAAACGAGGAGAAAGAGGAAGCTCTTATATTTTCAGGAGGACAGAGACCCAAAAATTCTAAACGTCGCAGTGTGGCGTCAAAGATCAGCTACAGAGAGGAGAGCAACAGTGATGGGGATGATGGCAATGAAGAGGAGGAGCTTAGTGATGCAGAAGAGTTTCAGGCAACCAGTGAGGACGACAGCAAGGACTCAGAAAGTGAAGCCAAGTCTGCAAAAAGGAAGAAAGGGAAAGCAAAAAGAACAGCTGAAGCAAGAATCAACAAAAATACAACAGCTCCAAAACGAAAAAGTGGTGGGAAAAAACAGGAAAAAGCTGAGGAAGAGAGTGAGTTGGAGGAAGATCAAGGAGCTGATAAAAATGAAAGAGCAGCAAGTAACAAGACAAAACCACAGAGTGGGAAAAGCAAAGAGCGGCCTGGAACAGACGAGTGGTTAGAGGTGTACCTAGACAAAACATCTTCTTGGGTTTGTGTAGATGTGCAGCACGGAGTAGGCCTGCCTCATCTCTGCTCCCAGAATGCAACAGCACCACTGACCTATGTGGTGGCGGTGGACGGAAGCGGGTTTTTAAAGGACCTGGGAAGAAAGTATGACCCCACCTGGATGACATCATCCAGGAAGAGGCGGGTGGACGATGAATGGTGGGAGGAAACACTCGAGCCATTCTTGGGCCCGGAGGATGAGAGAGACAAAAAGGAGGAGAAGGAGGTATGCTTTTTATTATTATTATTAATTTTTAAATCTTGCATTTTATTAAGTTTGTAGCGTGGACTCTTTTAGTTGTTTGAATGAAGGAAATTTGAACTCACCATATGTTCTTCCCCCTTCACCGCGTCTCAGCTCCAGAATAAGCTTCAGAACAAGCCCCTGCCAGTCTCTGTAGCTGAGTATAAGAACCATCCTCTGTATGCCTTAAAGAGACACCTGCTGAAGTACGAAGCCCTTTATCCTCCTACAGCCACCGTCCTCGGATACTGCAGAGGAGAGCCTGTGTACTCCAGGTCAGTACTACAGGGGGTATCACTGAAATGTAATTTTACAAACTAACCAAGTCAGTTAATTAATGATGATATATGCAGAGCTGTGACAGAGGACTTTGAAATACTGACTGAAGGCCGTTGTTGTGATCTATTTCTTGGACTCGGTGGATTTGGATGTGATTATTTAAATAAACTGTTTGATTGAGTTGTTTTTTCAGAGCTATGGAACAACTCGTACAGCTGCTGTCCAAACATTCTTATGTTTAGTTTTTTTTTTTTTTTTTTATGTCTGTGTAAAATTAGACCCTGTTTACACGAAAACGGTTTCTTGTGAAAATGGAAGAGTTTCGTTGCGTTTGTCCTGTTCATTTACACGAAAATAGCAAATGTTTTCTCTGACGACACAATTTGAGAACGGGTTCCAGAGTGCAATGGTTCAAAAACGTCCCGGTGGCCGCTGTCGTGTAAACAGAAAAAATAGATCTTTTCTGTCAGGGACTCCCTGGCTCATACGCAGAACGGCTTCCTACAACCCACAGAAGAAGAAACTATCGACATTGGCAGATACCAGAGTATTGTTTGCACTTCTGACGCTTATAAATTTATAAATCTAATTTCCCTGGTCTGCTTTCAGTTTGGACATCACCTTGGCTTTTGTTATGGCGGTTTTCTCGTGAGAGAAACGTTAGAACGTTTAGAACTTTTTTTTTTTAATTCATGCGCACTTAGTTTCAAAGTTTCAAAGAATATAGCACCAACTAGTGGCATGGTGTGATAATTACACCTTTTCCACATCTACTGTTGCTGTGTAAACAGATTGTATGGTAATTAGAACGTTTTCATGTAAATGTGTTAATAGAAATAGGAAAAAAAATCAGTTTTCATTTGATCGTTGTCGTGTAAACAGGGCGTTACAGTAATATTAAAGATGTAATTCTTTCGTTAATTTTTTTTTCTATTATTATGAGGATTTGACAACCTAAAATGAGAACACAAAAAAGAACCTTGGTATGACAAAACAAAAATTTAACATCTTGATGTACGTCCTGTTCAGAGATTGTGTGCACACCCTCCACTCCAGAGAAACGTGGCTAAAAGAAGCACGAACTGTCCGACTCGGAGAGGAGCCATTCAAGGTGACCTTTATCTTCGTTACCTTTTGTTTGTTGTTCCCACTCATCAAATCTCTTCCTGTAGTTTGTGTCTGTGTTTATTTGTGCGCCGTTCTTTCTGTTTCTTAAATTCTTATATATTACATATATTCATGTGCAAAAACACCCAGTCTGAATCTCTGGTTGTAACACAGATGCTTGGTGAGTTTAAACAGACTTCTGCCTTTGTGTTTTTGTGTCTCTGGTGTTAGATGGTGAAGGGCTTCTCCAATCGTTCTAGAAAGGCCAGGATGATGTCCGAGACGAAGAACGAGAAGGACCTTCCTCTGTTTGGAGAATGGCAGACTGAGGAGTACCAACCACCCATAGCCGTGGATGGGAAGGTTTGTACTGTAACCAACAGGCCGATTTATTTTTGAAGTTTGATTCACAGCTAGCATCTTCATAAGAAAAACACTGATGTGAAGCAGAGATGTATTTTCTTGTATTGAGTAAAAAAAAAAAAAAAGTGGAAATCACATTAATGAAAGTTCAAGGATGAAACGTGACATTAACATAAGTATCAGAACTGATTCGGCACAACTCTTGTCTGCTCCCTTCAGGTTCCTCGTAACGAATACGGTAACGTCTACCTCTTTAAATCCTGCATGATCCCGGTGGGCTGTGTTCATGTCAGGCTGCCCAACCTGCACCGTGTGGCCCGAAAGCTGGACCTCGATGCTGCACCTGCGGTCACGGGCTTCGACTACCATGGAGGATATTCACATGCTGTGTAAGACAAAACTGAGAAACTTTCTGATGAGATTATTTTTATTTTAATCTCGGGCGTGATTTAATAACTGTTAACATGTTAAAATCAAAATTCTCTAATGTTTACTTTATATATGTTAGACTTATGAACACTTCAGACAGTTGTTTTAATTTCTTACCACTTTGCCTTGATTTATGGTGATGATGATGAGCATTATGATAAACGTAGGATAATGTATAAAACCTAATATGTACATTATTATCAAATCTTGGGCATTTAAAAAAGGTTAAATCTCTTAGAAAACATGTATTCAACAAAGAACCTAAAGTAGTTATAGTGAAAATATTTGTGCAATATCTGAGTTAATAATCTAAAATGGATAAAGATGCAAATATCAATAATATTTGGTCTCAAATAGATTATTCAAAAATCTGTAACATTAGAAACAACATATTGGTAGCAATTATAAAATAGCCAGCGGAGGGTTTCACAGTGTAATTTTTTTTTTCTATTCTTGTATATGTAATGCTGGGGTGTCCAAATGTTTTCATATGAGCCACAACTATCCAGATGAAAGGAGTCGTGCGCCACAAAAATGTGAAATTAACTCTCAACGTGAGCAAAAATTTGGAGAAAGGACAAAAGTTTGCTAATTTTGGTGGAGAAAAAGTTTTAAATTGTTGTAGATCCAAAACATTAAAAGCCTCATAAACACTTAAGCTTATATTTTTTTATTAAAAATGATATAATTTATTTGACTTGTTGAGTATGTTTGTTGTTTTCTTGTGTTTGGAAAGTTCATTTGAGTCTGTTCTCAGCAACAAAAGCGTAATTTGAGTAAGAGTCCTTTTAAAAGGACTTTTGGACCATGGACAAAACAAAAGGCTGATCCAAGTTCTGAAAAATCATCCAGCTGTCAGTCGTTACAACAGATTCATCGAACGCTTGATAAAGTTGATCAACTCATATGTAGATGATAACACGTTATATTTATTTAAAAATACCCAGTTTCCCTCTTAATTATTTTATCTACCACAATATTTAGCCAAGTTTTATGAATCATTATCCAACAAAGTCTCCTTTCTGGTAGAAACCAGTAAAGGTTTTTGGTGCTTTGTACCATGAAGTGAAAATAAAAAGATTACATTTGTATTTTGTTTAATGTTGCTCATTTTGAGAAGAGTGTTTTTCATCTGTTTTGCTGTTAAACCTAAATATTATATAAAAAAAGGATTATCAGTGAATTTACAGAAAGTCTGCATCGACCTCTTAAACCTGCTGGCCACAACGAGATCATTCTTAAACTGCACTTGTGGGCCGCACAAAGTCACTCCAAGGGCCGCACATGGCCCTCGGGCCACACTTTGGACACCCGTGATGTAATGTAAATAAAAGGTATATTTAAAAAAAAAGAAACCAGATTTTTTTTTAAGCAAATCCTTTTGTATTTTTTAATTTTTTTTAGAACTGATGGTTACATTGTGTGTGAAGAAGATGAGGAGATTCTCAGAGCCGCCTGGGTGGAAGAGCAGGAAATTCAGAAACAGAAAGAAAAAGAGGTGCGTCTATATGTGGGTTGTCTTTGGGGGTAAGTTAGGAATTTTAAAAAAAATCAACATTTCTAATTTCTGGTGGCCAAACTTGACTAACTTTGCATCTGAGATGGAAACTTGAGTTATTGAGATTTAAATTGCTTTTAAGTTAAACCTTTTATGTAAAACTTGCTCAGATTCAAAACTCCTTGAACTTTTTTCCCAGAAAAAGGAAAAGCGAGCTGTCGCCAACTGGACTCTGCTGGTGAAGGGACTCCTGATCAGAGAGAGGCTTAAACAGCGTTACAACAAGAAGACCCAGGGGTTTGGGAGCCTTGCTCATGAAGGCGATGCTGGGGGTTTTTCTTCTGATGAGGAGGTGGTTGAAGGGGACACTTCTGGGGCTAAGACCGCATCTGAGACTCTGGCTATGTCCTGGCCCCAAAACAGACAAGCTGAAGAGGATGCCGGGTGCACCAGCAAATCCAAGAAGAAGACGACAAGACGAGAGAAGAAGAGTCAAGAGCAGCATTTATTCCCCTTTGAGAAAGTTTAACACTGTGGAAAAACACTGTTCTTAAGTTTTGGTAGATTCTGTCAACACAAAGCACTTGACTGACGGCTCATATTTACCTTAAAAGATGTTCAGAAGTCTCATTGTAGGATGAAGTGTGTCTTGCAACTTAGCAATGTTGGTCAACATGCAAACAAAAAGCAGAAAGTGAAGAAAAGACCACCTCTTTTGATATCATTACTGCTCATATTCCAATAACCTCACACACTGTTTTCCTGTATCTCCTTTTAGAGCCTATTAAATGTTCATACCACAAGGCGATCTGATGCGAACATGTTCTGAATCTGTGTTCCTGTGTAAAAATGTTGCTGTAAAGAGAACAAACACAATATGTTTGCTTTTAAAGTGTTCAGTTTCATGCATGTGGATAATAATATGCAATAGCACTGCTGGGGTTTTTTTTTTTTTTTTACATCTTTAATAAATAAAAGCATTATCTTGTGGCAACTATGGGAGCAAAACTGATTAATAAATGTATTTACAGCGTGTCGTATGGACTGAATCAAAATAAGTCAAACTGAAAATATTTTGTCTATTATCAAATCACTACTGTTCAGTTCCTGCCTTCTACATAAACATACCTCAAACCTGCAGATGGTAATTCGTATGCAAACACGACCTGTAAGTGGTTTTGGATCATTTGTTTTTCTCTGATAAAACTATGCAGAGCTTATAACAAATTAAAAATGTAACTCCACATTCAGGTTTAGCTTCTCACCAATGTTTTATTTTTATGTTCAGCCGCCTCAATCCAGGAGGGGTTTTCATTTCCTGTAAAACATTTCTTTTTTTACTAATAACTTGTAAAACATCAAGGTTTTTCTATCGTCAATTTTTATTCTTTTGATACTTTGACAGTAAGACTGTCAAAGCTGGACAGGAAGAAACTGTTACAAAAAAATAATAACAAAAACCTGTTATTTTAATTAATCGTACAGCTGTTATTCTGATCTCACCAAAGCTGAAAGGCCCTTTCTATGAGAACTTTTCCATCTAAGCTTTGGGAACGTAACATCTGAGCGTTATGCGTATCTCTTCCTAAAAGGGAGAATTCTTTCCCCAGTCTCAGAGTGTGTGAAAGAACCACCCCATTGTTCCTCAAGGTAGAATTAAATTTACACCACGTGGCCATCCCGCGGTAGAATTTTATTGTGGACAATTAATTTTTCTAAGTTCTTAACGCAATTTAATGTTTTTCCGCGAAACTACTAGCTTGTTCTCTTCTTTTTCATCTTTGTACCTAATCATGCATAAGAGAAAATTAGACGTGAAAAAAACAACTGGTCATCAGAAGCTTCAACTGTTTTCACAAGTTCTAGTGAAAATGTTTATTGATGATTTCACTTGATGAATCAAACTGATAAGAAGCCTTAAATGTTCTGCTGTTATACTGAGTATTTACTAAAGCAGAGTAAATTAGTCATTTATTCTTAATATTGTTGGTAAAGTTCAAATGGAGCAGTAACCTGAAACAAAGGTCCACCCTTTCTGTTTTGATTGGGTCAGCCATCGTTCTGTTTACACCCTTCAAGTCAGAGAAAGTTATTCTGACGTTAAGTCAGTCTTGGGGAAGTTTTTGAAGAAGACAGATCAAGCAATTGAAGATTATTCCAGAAGATAAGAAGTCCCATGCAGAAAGAGACAAAAGTTCCAGAGACTTGTCTCCTGCTTCAAGGAAAAACCAAAAGGTTCCTTGTCACCAGAAGGAGAACCACATCGGGATCCAGTTAACCATCGACTCCAGATTTCAACTGATGTCCAGTGACGAGGGGAATCCCTTTGATGCTCAAATCATCTCAAAGAGTCTCCTCCTGGTAAACCTCGGGCGCTTGACATAGAACTTCAAATCAGGAAAAGATGCTCATTTTCTCTGCTGGTGTCTGGTGCTCAAGATAAGCTGTTCAGTCCAAGTTAAATTCATTAAGATATCATGATTCTATTCATTAAAATTAAGCTCTTTAAAAATCCCAAATTGGCAAATTACATCTAGCCAAAACATTTCCTTTTAGTTAACTTTATAGATGATAATTGACTCTGCTTTTGAACCTCATAATTCACCATATTAAAGTTTAGAAGTTAAATTCCAAAACCTCTTTTCCTGTTGTCAGTTGTTTTTGTATTTTTTATTTCATAAAGGGAAAATGCATATTAATCAACATGAATACATCACATAAATATGACAGATTTAGCCAGAGAGGCTCATTTTAATCTGTAGTCCCCTAGCAGGTTGATGTAAAAGATTAAAAAAATACAATTAACACATGACAACTTACATGACCTATACGTTATGGCAATTTTAAATATAGCTAAATGTAGTGTAATTTACAGTAAACATTTATATAAAGAAATAAAAACAAGTCACAACCATTTCAAAGCCATTATTCATTCTTCAGCTGTATTCATCATTTTTGATCACTTATATTTACCAATATAGATAATAAACTTCTCAAAATTGTACTTTGAATCCATGTGTTTTTATTATATATAACATCTGGATTTAATATGAAAAGAACTCACTAGAATACATAAATTTTGAGACTGATTTATATATTTTTCTTGCTTAAGAACTAGAAAGCCAGTGGTACCCCTTTCAAAATAAATATGACTAATCAAAATGCATCAATTTTGAGAACCCTTTCCTCTACAAACATTTATCAAAGTTCCAATTTTGCAATATGTTTTGTACACAGGCAATGGTAGATGTGGTCAAAATAATAAATATTTCTTGTATGAAAAGTATTTTTGTAAAAAAAAAAAATAAGTTAACGTGAGTAAAAAGCAGATCAACAAATGCTGTAGTTCTTTTTTCTTCTTCTTCTTTTATCCCTTAACACCAAAACAGATGCACACTGATAAAATAATAATAATAATAATAATAATAATAATAATAATAATAATAATTGTGTTTAAACTACTTTCTATCTCTATCTAACAGCTACAGCTCCCTGAGCATTCAACCAACTCTGTTCGACTGAGTGGAATTTTTATTTTTTTATTTTAAATATAATTTATAGAGAAGACAAGTTTTATTGAATGAAGAAATAACCATTTACTGTATATGATATCAATTTAAAAGCTTTGAACCCATTTGCCTTAATTGCTTAAATCCTGATTTAACAGATAAGTTAATGAAAACACTTTTTAAAATGTACACGAGCATGTAAATACATGAAAATAAAGTAGTGTTGTCTCTGTTTTTGCTTTGGTTCTCACTTTTGTATTGAAAACACTCAGAATTTGCACTTTAACCTCAGTCATTTCCAAAGTTTCATTCCATTATCAGAAAGGCTGATTGAAATTTTTGCACATTCCAAAGTGATGGGTGTGAGGTTTGTTGAAATTATCTTTAAAATGTTGCAGCCTAAAAAATTGGGCTCTACAACTTTAGAAAAAAAAACTATATTTCCTAACTGCATAAAACAGTAAATGTTCCATTAGTGATTTTGCTTTTTGAATATTTCACAATGATTTAATGGTTTTATTTTGTTACTAAAGTGGTTCGATTTAACACATTTCTGTTACAAAAATTGTTGTAAAATTATTATTATAAAAAACTTGGACTTGACCTTTCAATGGAATTAACTATTTAGGAATGTGCAGGGCATACCTTGTTGTTTTTTTTTATTTTTTTTTTTAGTTTTTAACAAACTAGGTTAATTTGTAATAATAATATCAATCTGAACGTTCATTGCATTGAATGCATTAAACCCTCTTTCTGTTCTAGACCAATTCACTGCATTTCTCTCAGGCCTAAGCCTTTCTCTTCTCTCAGTAACTTCAGGTTACATTAGAACATAATGCATTCTAACATTATGCTTCCATCTATAATCTCAGGGTCACAATTAAGAGCAATACTTCAGCTGTGGAAATACATACCTGGAGTTTCACTCCATCTTTTATCATTTATAAGCTGGAAAAAAAAAAGTAGTGTTTTTTTTTCTGTTTCAGATCATTGAAGGTACCCTGGGTTACATCAAAATAACAAATTGTCATTTTTAGAACAAAAATGTTCTTATCTATAAAGTGAAATCAGAACTGTTGGATATTATTACAGCTGAATTATTTATTGAAAAGGTCAAGTAACCGATTTAAGAAAACATTTGTAAACATGCAGATAAAGTGAAAATAATTTTGTCAAGTGTTCAACTGTGCAGTGAGGTTCAAGAATTTCAGATAAATAAAAATTGCAAACTGTTGTTTTTAGGTATTAAAATATATTGTAAAGTAGCTAGAAGCAATAGATTTATACAGAGTTTTTATTAGATTATAGCTATAGCTAGAAATAGAAGCTTGGTATTTCTTAAAGGCTGTCTTTCATGCCAGGGTTTTAAGACCATTTTATGAAAACGAATTGCAATTTTAGTCATTTTGGTAAAACTTTGTAAATGATGTATTGCAGAAACTCATGCAATATTATAAGTATTGAAGATGACTCAACTTCAACACCAAATTTTAGCTGGATCATGAAATATTTTGCTAACAGACTATAGGGTTGAGTCGAACAGTTATCTCAAAGTTTTAAGCAAAACCTTTACACATTGTACTGAGCCTGGAGTACCTGTTGCGAATGGTTCTCCGCTACAACCATGAATTGTTTTAGAACAATATTTTAACACTATTTAGACACTTTTCAGTTTTCTAAGGTGAAATGGCTGTGTCAGCCATCTTGGGTTGGTTTCAAGTTTTATCAAAATAGCAAGTGGTTCATTTGAAAATTTTAATGGCAAAATAGTAAACAAATGTCTAGCACAATTTGTTAGTGCTCAGGTAGAATCAGCCATAATCAAACTTAAGATTTAAGGTCAAAATCTAAAAGAAAGTTAAGTCTGGTCCTCTGGACATTAGACTTAACTTTTTTAGATTTTTTCTACCTGGAGCATGCATCAGGATATTAAAGTCAAAATCTTTTAAACTGACTAAATTATAGCCACTTTTCAATTTTTGCTCTTTTTTTTTAAACTTCACTCAGGACACCTATACTGCAAATAATTTGGTTAAAAACTGTATTTAGGATAGAAATACTCAAAAATGAACTTTTATGTGAGATTGCTTATATTTCTTTAAAGCGAGAGGAGGGTGCGTGAGAAAGGCGGACGTGACGTAATTGATAAGCACCTCTGTAGCCGTTTAGCTTCCGCCTAACTGCCAGCCGAGTCAAAACTCGATTCCCCCACTTCGCTCCCGTTTTTTTCCACAGCCAGTTGAGCTAACGCTGCTCTGAAAAGGTAATTGCTTTGGACTTTTTCAAACATGAAGTGAATGCAGCAGTAGTTTAAATGTCCCTGGATACACCCCAGCTGCAGCGGGCCTAGTTGTTTACATCTCAATCCCCGGAGTGGAGTAGGTAGGTGAGACTCGGAGGTTTAGCTGAAGGGGGTGATAAGAGGGGGTGCCTACTACAGTGTTACTTTATTGTATTAGAGTAAAAGCAACTTTCGCCTGAAAACTTTACCAAGGCTATTAGAAAATAATTCCGCCGTGTAACCCGTCGTGGTCACGCATGGGTTTAGCATGCTCATACTTAACTGCTGATAACTACTAGCATGCATCAGGATACTAGCATGCTAGCCAGAAAGCTAACCCTGCTAACAAGTCAAACAGTCACTCTGTGGATTTGACTTTATTTAGCTTTTTCGTCGAGGTCGAACCGAGATGCCACTGTTCAGAGTCGTCAGAGAGTTTTCACGCCCCCTAAATTCAGTTTAGTACACATCATTTGAATTTACCCATATTCTGTTATCTAATCTGTTTTGATTGAGTGGCTGTATTAAATTAGCCTAGCGAGATCTGTGTCACCCAGTTTGCAGCCTATTTTTAAACCGTGGACCGGCAGACGGAATGTGAGCAGATCCGTCTGTTGGCTGCCTGGCTCTGGGAGGCAGCTGGCAGGCTTCAGCTGCATTATCATGCTCTCTCTAAATCAAAGATATGTTAAGAAGATGGGTCTTGAGCGCTGACTTAAAAGTCAATAGGCTGAGCTCTGTGTTGACTGAAAGGTGCATTGCTCCATGAAGTTGAACTAGGCACTGCAAGCGTCTGACGGCCTTACCATCATTTTTTCATTTAGATTTTGGAACATCCAGGAGAAAAGTGGTATCTGAGCTGTGACTGTTGAGGGACGAGTTGATTTCAAAATTGCGAGAGAAGAAAAGTGAATACTGAATTCTGAGTGTTGACAACCAAGTGGCTGACTAGCTATTTGTCTGCATTTTGAGTTGTAAGTATTTGAAAATCAGACTTTGTGTGCACGGCTTGCAAAATTGCATTTTTGGACAAGCACACATTGTCCTCTTCAGCATTTTCTCTAACCACATCCCCCATGTTTATGATTTAATCTGCTGAAGTGTGCTTTTGAAATAAAGAGTCTGATTTGGAGGATTAAATAAATATCAGCATGTTTTGTTGTTGTTTTTTTAGATCTGGATATTTGCTCTCAGAAAACAGTACTCGTGCAGGTATTGAAATTCAGCTCTAGATAGGTTGGAGATGCCTTCAATTTCTTTGTAACTATTTGGGGAGAAATGTTCTCACACAAATATTTTGAACATGTGCAAAACTCAAGAACAGGGCTCTGTACCTCTGGCTGATTCACCGAGGTTTAGAATCCCACAAATGTCGTAAGACATCCTGGAGACATTAGGAGACTCCCTCATGATGAATGTGTTTGTCAACTAGTTGCAGCTCAGTGAGATGCCATAAACTGATTGGTAGAGTCACAATGCTCTACCTGGTGTATAGATGTTAAGATCAGTTAAATACGGTGGGGCAAGACCATTGAAAACCTGAAAAATTTATAGTAAAACTGGAAAAAAAGTTATCTAAAAGTAAACAGGAAGCCAAGACGTATCAAAACCGGTGTTACGTGTTCTCACTTCTTTGTACCAGACAGAAGATGGGGTTTGTTAGAGATGCAGAGATAACTGGTCTAAACCAACATTCAGGGAAATTCAGAAGTCCAGACATGAAACGACTGAAAGTATGACCTTTCTCAGAATTTAACAATGTTCAGTCAGGTCATCTGGACGATTTCTTTTTTTTTTGTTGCTGAGACACTTTATCCTTCATCCAAAGGACTTCTACAATCTGATGAGCCACCAAACAAAGCTGATTCCCACAAACAGCATACTTCATAGTGGGAAAAAAACAGTTTGCTGGTGCTAAGATGGCCTCCGGGGCCCACCCTCTCCCCCGTCAACTCCTCTGTCATGCCGGTTTCCTCCCACAGACCAAAAACATGCATGTTAGGCTGATTGGTAACTCTAAATTGTCACTAGGTGTGAGTGAGAGTGAATGGTTGTTTGTCTTGATTATCTCTGTATGGCCCTGTGATGGTCTTGCGACCTGTCCTGGTGTCCCCGCCTTTCACCCAGTGATTGCTGGACATGGGCACCAGTGACCCCCGTGACCCAAAATGGAAGAAGCGGGTAAAATATCATGGATGGATGGATAAAATCAAGTCATCTGGACGGTTTCTTTTTTTCCTTTCTTTTTTTGCTGAGATGCTTCGTCCTTTCTTTTTTCTTTGTCCTTTTGTTTTTATAAAAATAATTTAAAAAATCGTCCAGATGACCTGACTGAACATTGTTGGATTGTATACCTGGATTGCTGAGCATGAACTTTGGTGTTTTGAACCACTTTGGCATGACTGTCTCTGAGGAGAGGGCGGGCCCCAGAGGCCATCTTAGCACCAGCTGTTTTTTTCCCACTATGGAGTATGCTGTTTGTGGGAATCACTTTTGTTTGGTGGCTCCTCAGATTGAAAAAGTCCTTTGGATGAAGGATGAAATGTCTCCGCAAAAAAGAAACCGTCCAGATCACCTGACTGAACATTGTTGGATTTTAAACCTGGATTACTAAGCATGAACTTTGGTCTTTCTCAGAATGTTTAGTAGGGATAAGTGACTTCTCTTTGGCAATAGGTCTGAATTGGAAGAAGCTGGATTTGATAACTTAGTTTATCTGTTTATTCAACTTAGTTTAGTTTATTTATTTATTTATTATATGCAGGTTAACACAAGGTCAGCAATGCAATGACATGTTCAGGATGAGAAGAACCGATTAGACTAGCTAAAAACAAAAAACAAACAAGAAATACTAAAGCATACAATAAGGGTACAAAGAAAGTAACAAGAAGTGAAAAAGAAATAGAATATTTATAAGGTCTAAAAGAAATATAGTAAACAAAAACATGGTAGAATATAACGGGTCAAGTAGTAGGATGAATTTGTATAAATAAATATTTCACAGGTAGTAATATAAGCTTAAATGCATGTGATATATATTTCCCATAACTAGCTTATACCATACTACACAGGCTGTGTGACAGGTTAGTTTGTGCACAGATTATGAGTAATACTGAGATTAATTGAATTATGATGGTATACAGGCACATAGTGCAGCAGCAATAAAAATATTAGGTGTCACAGATGTGGCTTAGTGCAATGCTGTTGTCAGTTGTTTAGTGTTATCAAGATTTCTGTAATCTGACTGTCTTTGAGTATTATGGTGCGTGATAGGAGGTTCCTGTATTGTTTGCCTGAGGGTAGTAGACGGAAAAGTCCTTGTGCTGGGTGGGTGTGGTCCTTGATGCTGCATGCTTTATGCAGCTTAAGAGCTATCATGTTCAGGTTTCTAACAGCGGAGCAACTGTACTGAGTCAAAAGACCCAGAATGTCTGAAGTTCTAAATAGAGATTTATATTTACTAAACCAAATAACTTCCGATTCATTTTCAATAAGATTAAGAAAGCTTAACTTTGTGCCATAAATGTTACGATATATAACAACAGTAGCAAGTGGCATGCAAAGAAAAGTCAGTGTCTTCACGCCACACTATCCTGTGAATATTTCACATTTGGAAACTAGCATTTTTAATTATTTAAAGGACATTCTAGCTTGTTTTGCAAATTTTCTCTGACATGTTCAGCTCTGCTGCCTTAGTATTTGAACTTGCAGACACTAGCTGAAGCAGAATCAACAAGTGAAGACAGTTAACAAGTATCGGTAAATACATTTATTTTGAATGCAAAGTTATTCCATATTCTCTTTCTTTCCTCAGATTTCCAAATGAGTGACGGAGAGTGTAACTTCTTCTGCTTCTTCCGCTGCTGCTGAGCGCACTCTGTTGCGCCTCAGTCAGACAGGAAGACAGGGTGTCTCTCAGCACTGACACCAGGTGGAAAGTGGGAGTTGAAGCTTCAGTCAACCCATTTAATCCACAACTGGACCACTTGAAACTGACAGGTAGGCGGCTTTGTCTACCTGTCCGGGTGATTCATTTAAATCGGCTAGATGTCTGTGGACATGAACAGCCAGGCATCTGACAGCAATGAGGAGGACTTTGGAGTGAACTCTGAAGAAGACGAGGATGAAGACGATGGAGGAGAAGAGGAGGATCAAAATTACTATTATGATGGAGTGGCCAGTGACGTGGAGCAACAGGGCGCTGATTCCTTTGACCCAGAGGAGTATCAGTTCACCTGTCTGTCGTACAAAGAGAGTCAGTGTGTGCTGACGGAGGAAGTAAATACTGTCGCCGCTGCTTTGAAGGTCAGTGCAGCTGAGTTATATTTCCTTTAGAAGGGTCAAAAAATAAGCGAATCATAATTGACTAGTGTGTCAAAGCACCGTTTACTCAAAAGACAAAAAGATTTCCTACAGATTAATGTGAGAGGGATAGGGGTGTTGTACACCAAGCCAAGTTGGTGAATATCTTTTTTAATTTATTTTCTAAGTGTAGCATGCCTTTGGTTCTGTCAGGTTTTGAGTTTACTGTTTATCTGTCAGTAAAATCTGCCTGTTTAGATGTTTAATGTATCATCATTGCAATAGAAATGAGTTGAATTTTAATACTGCAAATCAGTGCTTGGACTGCAGTAAATTATAGAACATTATTTTCAAATTACTATGCATTAATTTTCTGCACGCTAATATATTTAGTCAGTTCAACAGACTTACTGGTCTTGATGCCTATGCCTGGTTTAGATGATGGTGATGCCAGAAGAGAAAGTGAGGAGTGAAGAAAATGTGTGTTTATTGCAATCAATATTACCAGTGCAATATAGAAATATGAATAATAATAATATAATAACCTAATAATAATATAGTAATATATAATAATAGCACATCACAGGTTTTTCATAAATATTGTGCTGCTTTAATGTACATAACAGTGCATCTTCTTTTTAAATTGAAAGATGGGTTTTTGATTATTTAAAACAAATGAAAAATAACCCAATAAAGTAGGTTAGAGTAAATGATAGACTGCCTTCCTCAAAGTCATTTGCAATGGTATTTCCCTCATTTTAATAATTCATAAAAAAAGAAATGGCTGTTTAATACAACATAGTAAATATAGGATGTATATGTTTAAGGAATTTTTGGAACGTTGTTTTAGTTGTTTGTTCTGTTTCACCATTTTATAACTTTAGCATATCATAAATGTAGTTTGTTAGCAATTTGACACTACTTTATGCTTCTAGGAGAACTTGAAAGATCACCTTGAAAGTGTCCTTGAACGAATGAACCTTGCATTTATTAAAGTGTAAATACTGTCACACTTCATACCTTTAGTGTCATGTTCGTTTGCATTTTTTAAATCAGATTGTGGTCCTGTTCACGAAGTTTATCTCTACTTTAAGCCATGTCCTTCTTTTCCTTGCAGGTTTCACCGTCGGTAGCTAAACTGATCCTGGTGCATTTTCACTGGCAGATTTCACAAATTCTGGACAGGTATTTATTTCACTCCCTCACAGATTCTGTATTTACTTGTCTGCCTGTGGATTTTTTTTTTTTTTTTTTTTGCTTCTGCACTGCACCCAACTATTACACTTTTTAGTATCCTGTATCCAGCTTTACTTATTCCTCTTTTTCTTTCTTTACTTGTATACTTTAAAGTGTTTGAAGACTTATTTGTACTGATTTTTGACAGTGTTGAAAGTCTGGAATCTGATTGTATTGGTTAAAAAACATGGACTTTTGCAGCCAATAAAAACTGTTGCCCTCCCTGAAAGACTGGTAGGGTAGTAGAGGGGTAGTAACTCAGCATTTCAAACATTTATTTCTCTTTGTGACATTTACCGGTATCTATTAAATGCAGTGATTTTATGCGTAAACTTGGTATCATTTCTCAGTCAAGCATGTTTAACCTCTTTTGTTATTCTTTCAATTTCTGGTTCTGTTGATTTCCACGCAGATGTAAGTCCAACTCGTCTCTGCTTTTGTCAGAAGCTCTGGTCCAGCCCAGCAGTATGTGCAGATTAGTCACTGTGAGTTAAACTTGTTTTATTTCTACTTTTTTGACACGTTTACTTTAGCACTCGTTTGCTGAAAAGCAATGTCAAATTTAAAAGCAACAGAAAATCATAGTGCTCAAAAAAATTGATTTTGGTTTGCTTAATATAAAATACTACTGTTGGATTTACATTTTAAAGTTTAATAAAAAAAATTCTAATTAAAAAATAAATATTGTTAAAATGTTACTGGTTTAGTTTAATCATTATGTTTTTTCTTGTGTGTGTTTCAGGCTCCTCAGACCCTCCAGTGTGGTGTGTGTCTACAAATTGTACGGAGAGACTCCCTGCTGGCACTGCCTTGTCAGCACTCCTTCTGCAAAGCATGCTGGGAGCAGCACTGCACCGTTCTGGTCAAGGATGGTATTGGAGTAGGTGAGTACTATACACACAGTTTGTGTGTTTTGTGTGCATCTCTGTCGCCAGAGCTGGGGTAAGAGTGACTGAGTTGCAGTTCTGTTTGATGTTGTGTTCATTCATGTCCACGTTTCAGATTTTATGCACTGCCGTCTATATTTCAACCTCATGTATTTAAGTTTTTAGCTGTTGCCTTTCTGCAGGCTTTTTTCCTGAGTGGTACTTTAATATCCATCCACCAGCAGTTTTACTGACGGAAAACACTGAACCTCCAAGGTGTTTGTACATAGATGTTTTTTTTTCACCTTGTGTTCAATATGACAATTCCAGAAAGACTTTAAAAATAGGGATTTGATGTCTTCCACCTGGTATGAACTTTTACAAGGAAGGCATGTTGCTGCAGCAGCCTCGTGGTTATTAGTATGTGTCTGAAAGAGTGTGCTTGAGTCAGCAGGATAGCAGATGAGTGTGTGGGCGTCGGCATGAAGTTATTCAGTGAACTGTGTGTGTGGGGGGGTTGGGGCAATGGAAGATATACAGTCTTACCTTTCTTAAGTTGTAATGATTTGTAGGACCACGCTGATATGCAGCGTCTCTGTGCTGCTTCCTAAAGGCCTTTCTGATAAAGTCGATCCACATAATCAGAGTCTGAGTCTGATAAGTGTCTCTGTCGGCTGCACCAAGGACGAAGCTGTGATGGAAGAGAGACCCCAGTCTGGTTTCTAGAGTTACACTGGTCCAGTCTGCTTTAACCAAACACAGCTACAAATAGACTTCCCTTTGGCAAAGCATTTAAGTTTATTATACAATATGTTTACACATTAATTATTCTCAACATTAAGTTGTTAATCCCATCTCACATATACAAACAGAGTCTGAACATGATCCAGCAAGGGACGGAGTGTTGCCTCATCCATCCAGTTCCATTGTTGTCAACTCTATAACTTTGTTGCTCAATTTTGAACTCAACAGTTCTGATATATTTGTAAATTTTCTCAAGGCCTTTTATGTGGTGTTTCATGACCCCCAGTGGGGGCCCAACCTCAACAGGAATCATCTTGTTGAAAGTAATGTTGTTGCTTAAAACTTTTCTATGTAAATATTGACAAGACTTCAACCTGTACAGTTCAACCTGAAGTAGAATCTAATTTAGTTGAAATCACTGCCATTTGTTTCCCCTGTAATAATACAAACATGTTTGCGTTCAGGTATCTCGTGCATGGCTCAGGACTGTTCCTTGTGTATGCCAGAAGACTTTGTCCTGCCACTGCTTCTTGGGGAGGAGCTAAAGGACAAATACAGACGCTATCTCTTCAGAGATTATGTTGAGGTGTGTGGCCGGCTCTTTGTGTACTAAATCTGTTTGGTCAAATGATTAGTCAAAGCCTGAATATGTAACAGCTGAATTAAGATTTCAGGGATTTGTTGGTTTGCTTGGATTGACTTAATTCAACATGTTTTGTATTAAGTAATTTTCTACATTTATTTATTCATGGATAAATGGTGGTTTAAAATACTCTGTATGTTGTTAACACATAAAAAATACATAAAAAGTTGAACATTCTTTCTCAGAAATGATGCAACGTTTGGATATTCCACAGAATACAAGAACAATATTTTATGAAAACATTTTGAAGTAAAAGATTGGTCTAAGCAGTTTTTTCATGCCGTTCTTGCCTTTTTTTGTTTTTGCAGAGTCACTTCCAGCTGCAGTTGTGTCCGGGTGCAGACTGTCCTATGGTCATCAAGGTGCAGGAGCCTCGGGCGCGCAGAGTTCAGTGTAGCCGCTGCAATGAAGTTTTCTGGTAGGAAAAACACAGCAAGGAACATTTGTTCTCATGTTAAACAGGTGTTATCCTAACATCATAAAACCCTTTCCTGTTTCCACCAAAGACTAGAAGGCTGTAATAGATGTTAATAAAAACAGAACACATTGGAATGTGTGAATATTTTAATTGAAGCCTGATTTAAATTATACATGAAAATGTTTTTACTTTTCAAAAATGTTTATTTTACCGTTTCAAGCCTGCTATGTCACGTTTTGTACGAAGGCTGAAAGTTTCACAGTTTGCAGAAATGCAACAGTGGATGTGTTTGCTTTCTCTGCCTCAGCTTCAAGTGTCGTCAGATGTACCACGCACCCACAGACTGCGCAACAATTCGAAAATGGCTGACCAAATGTGCAGACGACTCGGAGACTGCAAACTATATCAGCGCACACACTAAAGATGTACGACGGCTGCACACATACTCACACAGCTGTTTACATACCCGTTGTTTACTTTAATCTTACAAATGACATTTTTTGTTTTATTATTATTTTTTACTTCACTCACACCTTTCTGTGTAGTTTGACCACAGCTGTGATTTAAATAGGAAGCTAAATACCGTTTTTTCTTCTAGTGTCCAAAGTGCAATATCTGCATTGAAAAGAATGGAGGATGCAATCACATGGTAAGAGCTGAAATCACACTTTGACAACACACGAAATTCTAAAAATATTTAGTCAGACTCTGGCTAAAATCTTTACTTTTTTTTTCGTCATAGTTTTATTAATGTACCATTTAGCAGATTTGTTCTGATTTTTTTTATATATATCAAACTAACTTTGTTCTCCCTCCATTGTCTTGTACTTGTTGAATTTAAAGTGATTCTTTGTGGTTGTTTATGCAGGTTAAAGGTTCATTATTTACACGTCCTTCCTGTGTGTTTGTTTGTTTCAGCAATGCTCCAAGTGCAAGCATGGTAAGTTGTTGATCTCACAGTTTCACACCTCCTGAAAGGAGTCATGAGGAAAAATATGTCGCACACAACACAAATCGTTGTCAAAATTTCAGTTTTATATAAGTTTTTTTTTGTTGTTGTTTTTTTTTCTGATCACAAAGAAATGCAATAAATTTGATTTTTGGGTTAAATAAATTTAAATTATATTTTTTGCATTTTATCTCTTATCAAAGCTTTTATAGGGGCTTATATTCAAATGGATTATTTAAAAAAACAGAAATACTTCCTAAATATTTTTTTTTCAGTGTGTGATGTGGTCCACATGTCAGTTTTCTCATGAAAACTTAAATAAAAAATGCTATAAAATCAAACTATTCTGTTGTCTGAAGAGCTTGAAATGTTGCAGCTGTACACTGAGCAACCTAAACGGATCTTGTAAATAATTTTATTTTCATGTTTATTTATTTTAAATACCATACTAAGCTTGTGCACAGAGTTTCTGAAGGTGTGTGTTCTGTTTTCTGAAAGACTTCTGCTGGATGTGTCTTGGAGACTGGAAGACTCATGGCAGTGAATATTACGAGTGCAGCCGCTACAAAGAAAACCCAGATATAGTCAACCAGAGCCAGCAGGCTCAGGCCAGGGAGGCCCTTAAAAAATACCTCTTCTACTTTGAAAGGGTGAGGTGTTTTTTTTTTTCTTTCTTTCTTTCTAAAAGTTAATTATAATTATGGCTGCACAATATTAGGGAAAAAAAAACGTGATGTTTGATATTGTTTAATATTACTATGACTATATCGATTGCGACAAACCCACATTTTCCTCAGTCCTAACTTTCAATTGTGTTTTAAACCAGGCGTCGACTTCAAGACCAGTAAAAGTCTGTTAGAATAACCAAATATAATAATACCATGCAGGATATGAATACATAGTACTTGAAATATAATGGTCCAAGCCGTCCTTTGCAATACTGATATTGCCATGAAACTAAATTTGCAATTAATTGTGCAGCCTAAATTAAACTTCAGCATTCTAAATGTAATAATTGGTTGAATGTTTCAGAGCCTGAAAGAGATTCAAGAGTGAAACTTTTAGAAACAGAACTTGTACGTGTTTATTCTTTTATTTTTTTTTATGCCTGTGTAGACCAGCAGATCGTGATCTTTGATCGTAACTCATTTTGGGCCTGCTTCACAGAGCTTCTTATGCATTGGCATCTAGTTACTCTTTCACCTGTGATGTTGTAGATGGCGAGCGTCTGTAATTTTTTATCTGAAGTAGAAATGGACAACTCTTCCTCAAGCTGTGGACTTGATGGATTTATTAAAGAAACGGCTGAAGACTCATCCTTTTAGACTGACATTTGGAGAACTTTAGCCTGATTAGCATACCTATCTTATTTTTTAACTTTGATTTTTTTCCCCCTCATTAATTTATTTTATTTTTGTGTTGTGTGTATAAATTTAATGTGGAGCATCTTGTAATTCTTAAATGGGTCCTATTTAATTGTAATAGACTTACGTTACTACGTTTATGTCAATGTGTTCAGTTTGCGCAGCAAAGTGATCCCCACAGGCTGATACACACAGTGAGCTTTACTTTACATATAAATATTATGTAATAATATACTATTTATCAATATACAAGGGGAATGGTGGCACAGAGGTTAGAGAAGGTGAGCCTGTGATCTGAAGGTCGCCGGTTTGACTCCCCCGACCGACAACATCAAAATGTGGGTGGAAAAGTTGAAACACCCACACCTGCCTCCACCACATTTTTCTTACTCTGGGCCCTTGAGCAAGGCCCTGAACCGCCACCATCTGTTTCTAAACAGGTCTCTCTTGAAAACGAGTCCTTGTGGCTCAATGAGACTACCTATATGTATAAAGATTAATTAAAATAAATGTGTGTATCTGGACGAAGGTGGACGTTGTAAAAGATTGCATAATCTTGGAAAATTAGATATAAATGTTCAGGTTACACAGTCATACATCTGTACCTTTATTAAAATGTTGAGAAACTTTGTAAAGATTAAGTTCACTGTTAACCCCTAAATGTATATCCAAAAAAGTTCAATCTGGTCCTCTGGACATGCAAAAATTTTTTTTTTGCATGTCCAGAGGACCAGATTGAACTTTTTTGGATTTTTCTACCTGGATTATTGAGCATGCATCAGGAGACCCTAAATGTATAATTTTGTCTTTGGTTCAGAATGTTAAATTTGTTATTTGTCTTTCTTTTTTTTTTTTTTTTTGCTACAAGTGGGAGAATCATAACAAGTCTCTACAGTTGGAGGCTCAAACGTATCAAAGAATCCAGGAGAAGATCCAGGAGAGAGTAATGAACAATCTGGGCACTTGGATCGACTGGCAGTACCTGCATAATGCTGCAAAGCTACTAGCTAAGGTACTGTGGAAACCAAACACGGACAGTGAGTTTTGTAATTGTGATCGTCGGGCAGAAAAGTAATAATAAAAAAATTTAAAAAAGTCCAGGAAATTTTTTTTCAAACTTGTAAACATTAAAACCACCAAGTTATTATTTGATTTTCAATTACTTATTGCTTCATCGAGTTCTTTCAGCCATTAATAATTATATTGGCCTAAATGTAAAACTAAGATGCATAATGTGGTCGTACAAAAGCTAATTTGGTCAGTTGGTCATATAAAACATGACCAAGCTTAAAACGCTTCATCAGTAAAATTTATGTAATTTAACCTAGGCCTGTTGCGATTAACAATAAATCAATTAATCGCATGATAAATGAAATTATTTACCTCATTTTATTGGCTTTATTGTTTCTTCACGTCTCTCTCTTTCTACTGGACACTGGATGACAAAAGGCTCAACTCCAGTGCTCTTCACTGACCCCTCCCTTTCTCTTTTTTCTTTAAAATCTGTTTTAACCGTCTAAAATCACGTTTTTGGATCGATAAAAGCAGCCTAGTTGAGAAGCTAAACTACGAGCTAAGCTAACACGCCAACCTCAGGAAAAAACTCCGTCTTGTCAAAGCTTCAAAATTCATGGTTGAAACCCGTGCCTTCGTGTAAGAAGTTGTTTTTCTTCTGCAAAAAATCTTAGAACTTGTTTACTGATTTTTTTTAAATTAAAAGCTTTGTGTGAAAAATGCTATGCTAAAGAGCTCAAACCACACCGAGCATCCGCCATTTTGAGAACCGAAAAAAGGAAGTAGAGACAGCCCATGCCATGTCAAGGGGCCTCCCTCCCATTTTTCTTAGAGACACTCTGCTCGCTCCCTCACTATCCATCCTTCGGTTCAAACAGTCTTATACTGCCATCTAGTGGTCAATAAAAGCACTACACTCAAAACATTTTTTTTTTCTTAAATTTGACAATAATTACTAAAACAGTAGTTGAGAATTTACAATTATATAAATAATTACTAATTATTGTCAAATTTCAAACAATATTATCGTTTATCGTGATCATTTCTGCGACAATTAATCACCCAGCAAAATTTGTTATTGTGACAGGCCTAATTTAACCTATTGTTGTCTATTCTTTATTCTGTATCCAAATATTCAAAACTTCTTCCAGAGCATGTGTTTCCTCTGTTTCTAGTGTCGGTACACGCTGCAGTACACCTACCCCTACGCCTATTACATGGAGTCAGGCCCACGCAAGAAACTGGTGAGAAAAAAAAACTTTTTCATGGCAGTTTTTCTATTTTCTATCACGCGCTTCTGCCGTGATCTTAGTTTGTTCATCACTCTCCGTCCAAGTCTTGCCATCTTTGTTGTCGTTGAGCTTTGTTTCAACAGTTGCCATTTTAATTTGTTTTCTGTCTGCAGTTTGAATACCAACAGGCCCAGTTGGAAGCAGAGATAGAAAACCTGTCGTGGAAGGTGGAGCGGGCCGACGGCTACGAGAGAGGTGTTGTTGGAGGCGAGGGCGAACTCAGCGCCAGTGACAGAGGGGTAAGGGTGCACGTTTATGAGAAATTGGAAGACTATAAGTTGAAAGAAATTGAGGAAAGCTTAGCAGAGAAATATTATGATTTTTTTTTTTTTTTTTTTTTTTTTTAAGGATCTGGAGAATCAGATGCACATTGCTGAGCAGAGACGACGCACGCTGCTGAAGGACTTTCACGACACCTGAGGCTCCAAACGCGACTGCAGTGCACCAGCATCTCCCTCCGAACTTTCTTCCTTGCCTCCGACCTACGCTTCCTTCCATGATGGCCTGTCATTGCAGTCATACTGACCCCTCCCTTTGTTTCTCTTTTTCACATGCTTGTTTGCTTCTGTTCTGTTTTCTCGCCTCTCACTACTACAATGCTGCAGGGTCACAGAATATCACAACTTTATCACCCCCCATAATTTAATTTCCTCCTTATTTACACCTCTGCATTTCTGCGTCACATCCGCGGTGGTTACACTTATTTCAGCTCCACATATCTGATCATGTGGGTCAATGTTTCAGGTCTCAGGGCTACAAGCAGTGGATTTTCTTTATTGTGACGTTTGCATCTTATCTGGTAGATATTCTCCAAAGTTACTCCTGGAATCGGTTTAAGAAAAAAGAAGCTTGTGCTATTAGGTGGATGAGGAAGATGTGTGAAAAGTTATCACCTTTTTTCTTTAAGGTGATTGTCATATAGTGTATTTGTTGTTTTAAATAAACCATAATGACTTACAGGCACAAGTCACATGTATTAGTCACTTGTTCCTTTATAAACCAACATAAAAAAACAGTTGAATTTTTTAATAATAAAAATGAATAGTGATGGATGAAATGATTTCCTCAGAAGTAGCATAGTTTAAATTTGTTTACAGTAACTTGCAGCCCTCGGCTTGTTTCAGCTACTAGAATGCTGCTTCTGGTTTTGTCTTGTTTTCAGCCAGTTTGGGTGCATTAAAACATAATGATCAACAAAACCTGGGTAAATGTATAAATAAAGGTTGATTGAAAAAAATGTGATACAATTGCTGTTTAACATACTGACCTGAAAGTTCTGCATTTTTATTAAAAACTTAACCTTAAACAAATATAAAATTTTGAATTCCTAAGAGTAAATATAATTTGTTGGTAAATGGTAGCTACAGTAGTTTAGATTTTTAACCAATGTCTCTTATTGATTTCTCCCTGTATTTGGTGTTACACCTGATCTAAAGGTGCTTCTTCTGCCATTCTGGCTAGAACATAGTTAACAAGGAATTAGTCCCATTATTATTTTTTGTTTTATTTTTTTATGTTCTGATACTGATATTGTTGCTTTATTTTGCGAGGCAAATTAAAATCCAAGCAAGGCTGAATTACTTCCATTCAAGTCTAGCATTGGCACCTCCACTGATCAGATAAAGCTGTTTTTAACTCTACGAGTGTAATTCACGAGTGCTACAGGACTTCCCACCGACATCAAGATGGGACACACCAACGCACTCATACGCAAACACTCCTCATTCACCGTTAGTTTGTCTCCTTCCCACATCTCATGCGCTCTCCTTTCTTTAGTCTTCCCCCTCATTTTTTTTTCTTTGTTTTTTCCCTTCAGCTCATGTTGCTCACTTTTCTTCTGGAAAATGGCTGTTGATCATTAAAAAAAATGAAAAAAGGAAAAAAAATCGATGTAATTTTCAACGGTTGTACATTAATACAGAAATAGAGTTACTGAAAGTTTTTAAAACTAGACCCTGTTTGTGGTGTGTTTATTTCACTCACGCTCTGATCAAACTGGCAACCCATTTTTTTTATCTTATTTTATGTAAAGTAATATCTCACATTTCCGACATAAAGTGTGAGCATGATGTAAAAAATAAATAAAAAATATTCCTCCACATATATACATTTTAAAAAATGTTCCCTTGTTTCATGTTACAGAAATCCATACTACTTTTTACAGTTGTTTACATCGTCACCACTCCACCTAACTATCTGTGTGTGACCTAGTTTATCACAAATAATGAAGTGTGTGTTGCTGATGGCAACTTGAAGTGTTCACTCGTACTGAACATGTCGGGCATGCTCACTTAGTATAAAAGAGCTCCAAGGGGGAAAAAATAGCCCTAAGATCTTCCAGCCCTAGACTTTCTCAAACGAATATAAAATAACTAATAAAAAAAAAACTTTTGATTTTTCATACATGAAGTAAATTAAAACTTAGTCTTCACTACCATTTTAAATATTTCAAATAACGGTAGTGTGCCATCTAAGATCAGGACTTTAGTGCAGAGCCAAAAGAGTAAAATGTTTCTGTTAATCTTTTAAATTATATATATATATATATATATATATATATATATATATA